ACCCATCGAGTTTTTAAATGTGATTTAGCAACTGCCAGTAATTTATATGGTGCTCATAAGCATAATTTACCAGCATTTACATTCATCTGCATTGATTTTCTTACTGTTGTGTCACATTAATTAACATGAGTATGGGTGATATAAATAATGGCAGTTAAAGTGAAACCAGGTTCAGATGTGCCTAACTAGTCCTGAGTTGCAACTATAATTGTATAATTTAAATATAATTTGTGGTTAGGAACATAGGAAAGTAGAACGCTTCCTTTCATCTGACAATTTGCATGATGCAACTAAATAGTGTAGTCGGTATTTATTAATTTATTCTTTTAGCCCATTATGTCGAAAAAAGAAAGTGGGGCACAGGGACGCAACAGACGTGCACAATTTGCAGCTTCGATGGTGGAGTCAAGCAAATTGATGAGAGTTTTCCTTGCTGGAAGTGATGACACTAGTAAGACAGCATCTGTTCCTTTTGATGGCAGCAAAGAGGTCAAAGTGCAAGATTGTGAACATGCTATTTCATTTGAAAAAGAAAACAATGAAGAAACTGTTATGTGTCCTGTTAAAAGCTACAATAATAATAAACAAGAGGATTCCACTTTGTCAGAAACAAATCCACATAACTGTGTTGCTAAGCTAAAAGAGGATGACCTAATAAATATTTTAACACACAGGGATATTGGATTTATGAAGTTTGATACAACACACTCAGCAGTTGTAACACATGCACATCGCACAGAGATTGTTAAAGTTGAAGCACATGAATTTCAACATAAAGAAGGTCCATTTGATGCCAAAGACGGGCGTTCTATGACTGCATTTTGGTTCAAACGACGCCTTCTGAATGGACAAGAGGTCAATCAGACCTGGTTGGTGTATTCACCTCTACATAAAGCAGCATACTGCTTTGTTGTCTTCTTTTTTTCATCTACATGTATGACATCCCATAGTCGGTCTGCTTTCAAAACACAGGGTGGATTCTCTATGTGAAAAAAAATTGAAAAGCTAAATGCCCATGAAGATAGTGACAGTCATCGTGAGTCATTTGCTGCT